AATTCTTCACTAAGTCTTACAGGCCTTGTAGCAGGGACTAAATTAGAATATTTCACAGATTTCTTCAGTTTTGAGATGATTCCAAATTTTTTCAGACAGAAATAACAGTCTGTGGTGTGATCCGTTGGTTATATTCAAATCATGGGAATATCAAAGGGCATTTGTCGTGTACCTCTTAAACAGCATACCAGGTGTATAACACACGACACAGCATATGTAGGAACCCATTTTAGGTCCTGATCGATCACCTTACACTCGAACTAAAGTTCAAAACACTTCCTTATCAGAGCATTAAGGTTTAGGTTTTTGCGATTTCGTCGTTATAACACAGATATAACAAAATGAATTGAGGCTTTTTACACAATTATGAGGCTTTCTTCTTCTAAATTAATACAAAGCACAAAACTTCACGAACCCAGAACAATAAGCAGTCATATCCAATCACTTTCCATGTTACCGGACCTCTCAATGCTGAATAGCAACAGACAAGAAACACGAGATTCTATCTGTTTTAGCATGACGTATTAGCAATGTTTGCAAACAGTTTCATTTTCTAGAGATGAATGTTCTGAGTTCAACATCATGTATAGTAATTTCTTGTTCACTTTTCGGTTGATCCTTAACAATTAAATCTGTATAATAATTAATTGACGCTACAGCAAAGTAACCGATATGCAGCATTTCCGTAAGTAGGCAGTAGCGTGTAACATGAAAACTGAGCCCAATAGGCAAAAACTGATTTCATATTCGAATTCAGGGTTCACGTCTTGGCTGAGAACACCATCCAGCTTCTTTGTTACAAAAATGCTGTTGATCAGTGTACCCCCTTTAAAATTTCATCGACCCCAGGTGCTCCGTACTGACCCCGTTCAGAAACACTGCTGTAGACCAACTTAGACATCATTTAATAATAATAATAATAATAATAATAATAATATAAATAATACCATGTTTCTTGCTAGCAGAGCCCCTCACAGTTCAATATTTTGAAATTCTAGCACACCCTGAAGCGCTGAGCGCGTGTTCAAGGTGTTTCTTACAAAATATTCATGTTGCATTTAAACACAGAATACAATAAAAAGTCTTACAAAAAGTACAATAGCTTAAATTACAAAAAAATATTAAAATAATTTGTTTGGAAGTTTTTGCTTTAGGTCCACTGATTAGGGACCGGTGAAAGAGATGGAAATGGCTGGACCTGTTTGCATTTGACCTGAGCGGTCGCGAGAGACCTAGCGAAGCAATCCGCCCTCAGATGCTATGTGGTCGATTCGTAATTTCCTCCTGCGGCGAAAACGCACATGCCGATGAGTTCGAGATCGATCAGTTTATTAAGCGTGAAATCTGTCGATCTATCGGCAAGCTCGGTCATGGCCATTCACGGTCATTCCTCTTTCCGAAGATCAGGGCTGTACCATGTTGGCATCTGCATTGAAGGTGGTACTGAGATAGAGAGGTAATTCTGACTCAGAACATTTACGAACAACTTGGCCAGGTCTATAAAGAGAATACGATTTTTAGTTCCATTATTTTGAGTTAACCTTTTTGATGACAAAGTTCGAATGTACAGAACGGTTAGAGGCAGAATTTCTACCCATCATAAAAAATATCTCCGCTTCGTCAGAGAAATACGTTGTATATTTCTTGCCAGGGAAGTACCCTGTTTTATCATTCTGTTGTAACCAAGAACGGAGAAATCTTGGGACGAGAATTCGGTAGTTAAAACTTCAACAAATTAAAGCCTCATTAGAGACCGCGACGTCACGCATATCGATCAAGGAATATCAATTTTCAGGAAAATCGTGCTCATGGTTTAGTCGCTTGAGTTGTTTACAGGTGTATAGACGAACGGAGGACAGCTGTTTTCTCGTTCACCAATATTTCCGTGTTACAGACCAGCAAAACGGGGATTCTGACCATACATGTTAAAATAAGTAATTTATATAGGAATTATAGGAACAAGAATTAACTACTTTTTCGGTAACAGAGACCTACAATACAATTTGTTCTATCGAAAAACCACAGCTTTTCGCTGCAGCATTACATATCTTTCTATATTCTGCCTAAATAATGAGCGAGTATATATATTTCATATATTCTGCCTAAGTAACTAAGTAGCCCGTTGTTTTGGGTACAAACAATACGTAGTGTCACATACCATAAATCCCCCGAGACATGTAATAAAGGGAAATATGCATCGATCGTATGATTAGTTTAGAATCGGATGCATACAGTCTAGACCAAAGTATACACGTACACATATTCTTTTCCAAAGCATAGTCCCGGAACATAATGTTGAATAAATGACAAGACGGCATTGAAAATTGAGGTTCTATCATTTTTTAGGACTAGCAAAACACCCGGCGTTGCCTGGGATTTTTTCATATCTCGTCACTTCATATCACTTGTGAAAGAGGAAAAATATCAATATTATATAAACCATGATGTTTAAGATTATTATTTTTAATGTAATTGGTTTAATTCTTAATAAAATACTATAATTTTCTGGCGGGATTTATTAGGAACTATCTGTTATGTATGCGTTCTGCCACAGTATACGTATCATAGTCCGCCATCAGTACAGCAGCTCAGCCCGTTGTTTTGGCTAGTTAGGTATATGCGCGAATACTGCTAGCGATCCTGGTGGATAAAATTAAAACAGCTGAGAATAGAAGAAGTAAACGCCATCTTGAATTCATGCGCACACTCGTGAAGTCAACGCACAAAGAGATACAATATATCTCTACTCTATGAGTCAACGGAGTTTTGTTTTTCAGAAGGCGTTGCTGAAGTACACTGATTGCATGGAGGAATATAGAATAAGGGGAATATGGAGAATAAGCGATATCGCCATCCGGACCGGCCAGATGTACTTTGTCATTATTGTAAAACTACTACATACGCCAAAAACTCATTGTAAAAATAGATTGTCCCAAAGTGCAAATATTTGATGCCTCTTAGATCCGATCCCAGGACCTTCCGTTATCCAGGCATCAAACAAAGCATTCATCACGATTTACTTGCAAGGAAAATGCAATCTGTTAGCATATTTGCTCTATATGACAATACATGTAGAATATTTTAGAAAATCAGTAATTTAATCAGACCTAGCATTTACCTATGTACCACAAAACAAGTACATTTGGAATTTGTACGGATTTCAAAGCACTATCTTTTTTTTTTACATTTTATTAAGCCTGATAAGATACTTTTTTTAAATTTGTAGTTATTGAATTACATAAGAATACAAAGCTCATTATTTTGGCACCACATTATAAATTATTACAAATGTATAGGAATTCCTTCCACAAGATTGTAGATAGGGGAAAAAATTCTAATATTATGTTTATTCATCCAGCAGCATGTCATTTGGGCCCAACGGTCCTTTATCCTCTTCCAGATCTACAGGTTAGTTAGGAAAAGATGCATATCCTAATACGAATATAATGTGTTAGTTTAAAACGCACTTCTTTTTTTAATTCATCACATTTTCATTCAAATCAGACAATTGAAGGGTTAATAAACAGACACGATTTGTAAGCTTGTATTCAATAAGGACTGCAAATGAGTACCCATTTATAATGGAAAGTTAGTGACAATTTTTTTTATAAAGGAAACATTTAAGCTTAGAATACTACAATTATTTTGTCTATTTATTTACAAATCAGTGGCATTCTTCAAAACTGTCTTACTCAGGGGTATTTTCATACAATTCGGTTCTTTTCTCTGACTTCTCCAGCTGACTGGATTCTATACTTCAGGTTGTAGAACCGAAGCCACTTTCGCACCTGTAAGAAAACACATATATGAAAAATCTAATGCACAAACATTACACCCAAACTTCTCGGGCTTTGTATATTACGGATGTTACATTTTTGCGCATTACTTTTATAAAACAATGACTTGTGAACATCTTAATTGTCTGAAATGTAGGAAATAACACCACACTAGATGAAAATGAATTAGGTCAGGAACCAAACTAAATACTCTTAATAATAAACTAATTTGTAGTTTCAATTGGGCCGTGTGGCTAGCAAATACATTTTTTAAAAAAACATTCAAATGCAACAGGCAACAATTTATTTCCTACTTCCCTACTGTAACTCGTAATATTGTTCATAAATCGAAATATTTCACTCGGTCTAGAGACGAACCTTTTTGCTTTTTCCTGCCATCGTGATCTGCAACACTTGATAACAAAGCACACCACCAAACATCCTGCTACGAAATGTCACAAGCAAACACGCTGACATATGCAAACACCTCTCTCTCTCTCTCTCTCTCTTCTCTAATATATATATATATATATATATATATATATACTCTCTGCAACACCCTCTCTACCAGGAAGAAATGAATTTCGAGTACGAAATGAACGGTCGAAGTTTCGTAACCTCACACCGCTTTTTGGCGAGCAAGTTTTCGATGTAGCGTTTGAAATTACACGTGAACCTTAAAATAGATGCCGCCACATGGAATCCTCTAGTCCATATTCTCAAACAGCGAGATGTACCCCTTCTATTCTATATTCCTCCATGATGATTGCTTGTGAAGTTGCATTTTTAATATCCTGGTATTTTTTGTCAATTTGTTGCGTCTACATAGACGCAATGCGTCTCCTCCTTAGGGGACACCGAGCGCTTTGCGCTTGGAGTAATCCTCCATTAATATCATCATGTCCCGTCGTAGTGGGTTTGTTGTCAGGAGCAAGGAGTAAATATCAGAGAGGGCACTCAATGTTAAAAGGGAAAGCCTTATTTGCCCAACTTCCGGTGCCGCCACATTGTTCTGTATAACTTCAATTAGATAAACGGATAACCAATAGCGAAGAAGCAACCGGTAAATTTGAAATAAACCAGCTACGCGGGAACTTTAAAATTTCACTCCCATAATTGCCACTCTTTAAGTCATTAAAAAACTCACAATAATAATTATAAGGATTTTGTGGAAGAAAATAAGTCAAATTAGGGCAGTAAAATCTAATATTTATTGAACATATTGATATTATACAATTTCAATAGAATTAACAATTTTGTATTACACAAGGCATTAAACACAGTACACAAGCTTAAATGCAACTTTACTGGCTTGTACACTTGCCAAATTAATGTGCATACTATGAAATATTACATTGTTAGAAAGCATATACATGAACAGTGTTGAAAAGAAACAAATAAAAACATTACTGCACATTAGCCCAGGTAAAACAAATAGTTATGATACAAGTTATTTTGCCAGTATACCATTTTATTTTGCGAGTTGGAAAGATAGCATTACAAGACCAATATATCAGGAGCCCCAATCCTACGAGCAAAATAAAATCACTTTCACCATGTTTTTCAGCAGTATTACTGCCTTTCATTTAATAACTTTTTAAGTCATTACAACATTTGATATTCTTATTATTTCGTAAAACTTTTCGTTCAGTGGGTCAAAAATTTGACCAATCACCAAGTATATCGTATATTTATCAGTCATTATTAGTCATTTCTTAATTATCAACCTATTTTTTAATTTTATTTTCAAATTCTCTAAACAGGAATGCAATGATTGCATCACCTTACACCAGTAGATGTTACATTCATCATTTATGAGGTTTCTCCTCCAATTTTCATGGCAGATAGCGGCACGACATCGTATGCTGCCATTGCTGAAACAAAAATAAATTATTATAAATTAAATTTCAATTGCATACTTACAGGAAAATTTGAACATCAGACATTACAGTTCGTGGTCGCGTTTATTTAGAAAACCAGCCCATAAGGGAGCATATTGTTTACTTCAAACATTTCCATACTGGTTCATCTTATAGAAAAATGCCAAAAAATTCTAATTGAAATTCAGTAGTCATTGAATTACCTACAAAAGATTGTAATGGAAATAGAGTTTTTTTTGATCAAATGAAACCAATGCAACATTCGACAAAGTGTTGATACAATAACACACATTTTATCGCATTGTTTGTAATGATGACAAAATATTGCACTACTACCTTAACCTGCAAAAGTATATCCAACCGGCAATTTTTTCTTTGAACAGAGATTCGAACTGAGTTCAGTCTACACGCCTGGCACATTACCGGTCCACCACCAGTCGCACGGCTAAACTCAACTTTCCAAGAGCTTAAAAAATAAATGTTTTATCGCAATATTTCTAACTTATGCAATTTTGGAAAAATTCAGAATTCAGCAAAAATTAGTCTTGTGCCATTTTTAAAGCGTTTTTTCTCTCTATTGGATCAAGAATACAAGAAAAAACTTGGAGCCGTATTTGAGAAATAAATTGTTTTATCAATTGTATTCATTCAGCACAAATTACGTGAATACTACTATTTGATTTCAAAACATTGTCCACGATCTTATTTAAAGATATAATTTTTTATAAGATATTTTATTTTTTAAAGTATTTTTTCATCAATATTATTCAGATGGAATATTAATGTTTTGTAGTTTTGAAAACACAGGAGTTCGCCGAAAGTTGGACAAGCGTCATATTTTATCGAGATATACCATATCCAACAAAATATTTAACGACTCAATTTGTAGCAGTTTTTGAGAAAAGAATTGTTAAAATATTGACAATATTTCAAACAAATTACGCGAAAACTACTCATATTTTCGAAAAATTGTATATGACCTTATTTTAAAATATATCTTTGAACATGAAAATTCACTAGAAAATATCTTTATCTTCAAGACTATAGCTGAAGGAAGACGCCGAAAAAGTATTGAATTTTTGCAATTTTCGAAAAATCAGCAATTTTGACGAATAAGATTTATTCATTTTTTCCAGGGCCCGAGAAATAAGTTTTTCAGTCGAAACATCGCTGCTTTCCGGCTCACGATTACAATATTTTTAAATAATACGAGAAAGAAAGAAGACGAGAAAGAAAAAAGAAGGTGAAGAAATACAAAAGATTGGGTAAAATCTTTCATGAAGGTTTTCATAAATATTTCCCGACAGTATGTCGAAAGGGAATCCGCCATTCAGTCTCAGACAAGAGAAGGTCACCCTTCGTGCTAATGCTTCCAAAAGATATGCTGGAAATGAAAAGTAGTTCCTTATTGGAAATTGTTGCATTACCCTAAAACTCATTCCCTGTCATTACACAATTTTCGGCATTCCGAGATCAATACTACTTCTAAAAGTTTCTGTTTCAAGATATATTTTCCAGCGTATCGTGTTCGCTTCTTACAAAGTACAGATATTTTCAAAGCACAAAAGTACTTCTTACTTCGTACAAAGAGATTGGTAATTCGAAACTTAATTTCAAAAATATACAATATAATGTTCCTGTAACATAGCAATTTTAAAGTATGTGTTATATTCATATAAATGTCATAAAAATAATGTATGAAGTAATTATTTATTAAAAACTAGCAGCGCTGCACAATAGGATAGACTTTCTTTTAGTTTTCCTGTTCTCCTCACCTTGGCTAGGTTTTCGGTTTGGTTCCACACTCATCCCAGCTGCTATCCATCGGCACGTAAAATACCTCCCAAGACCTCCCGCAAACTACTGTTCCTCTGGGATATTCCCAATTTTGCCCTCCCTTTCGTGCTTCCCGGTCATCACATAGACCTGCGTCGGTCTTGTACGGTTTTATATTTGTGAACGGTGTCCCATCTGGGAAATTGTAACACTGTTCTGGGTAGAGGTAGAGTGGTTCAAATACACACATAGATTTATCACATCTGCAAGACGGGGCATGATATTCTGGAGGGATTGAAGTAGAGATGTAATACTCAAATTTGGAATGCCCTGCTCACCACAAACACAACTTAAAATATTCTAGCTTTTCGCGGATTTCAATCCCTCAGCCATAGATTCCACATACTTGAGTTTGGCTTCCCCATGCCCCCGCTTCTGCCTCATGACTTTTCCCAAATATTTGTAAATATGTTAAAGGTATTTGAAATAATGCGATTTCCACAGTCAATTGCCGCTTGCTTCACGAAATCCGCACACTGACCACTGATTATTAAGTAAATATACTGCAATCTTCTAAAAGGGCGCAAACTCACAGCTACTAACCAAACCTTTCATTCTCAATTCCGCGTCCTCATTTCTCAATTACTCCAGCATTAATTCAACATAATATAAAAATTCTCTGTATCATAACACTCGCCACTATCACTTTAATTAAACATACGTGTTCCCGAAACTCGATGCTTGGTTCCCGGATCTCGTTCCGTGTTTAACACACATACTACTTCATAAAGTACAAGTTACGTGATGTCCGTAAAAAAAATGTGTGCTTGATATGAATCTGTAAACAGCGTGTGCAACCTGCTGGATATTTTAACAGCCCTTAAATGTACGAATGTATAATGAAATGTGTGCATCGTTGACAT